TTGTATGCATGTTGAATCAAACCAAAGCAAATGATTCACGATTCATATTCATCAAAAATTCAATATACAATATAGATAGTACATTTCCGAGTTTTATTGTAATTAAGGATTGAGGATATATATTAATGTTGATGAGATTCAAATATATGCAACACACTATAGAATTCAATCATAATTGTCTACTAAAAGACCATCAAATCAAATAAAAAAAGATTATGTAAAATATAGTTTATGAATTGATTAATTTTTTTCTTCCTTTACAACATTCGTGGATGAATATTTGTCTTTGTTATTGCAATGAAGTAAAAAAATCTTCGACTCTTTCAAGAAACATTCTTACTTACAACAACCTTACAACTTACAAGGAACCATAGCTTATACATCACTAGCATATTCAAAAAAATACACTTCTTAGATTGAAAATCTAGCTTGGTCATATTTTCCTAAGTTGTAAGAAAATAAATTTTATAACCAAAAGTACTTAACTGATTATAATCAATCATCTGTTTTTGTTTTACTTCAAACGATATTAAGAAATTGATTGCATTTAAAAGAAAGTTTTGAAATAAACAGTGGTATTGACAATTTGACCCAAAATTCATTTGGTAAACCAGATTGCCACAACATATTGTGCATCTATTTAAACACTATTTAATTTAGCCTCTCAAAAACAACAATCTGTTGCGGAGTATAAATCATGATGAGATGACGAGTAATCTACTTCTTTTTGAATGTATTCAAAACTTTTCAAGTGTATATTTTTTGCCACTATTTGTACTTAAAATTCTAAATTTTAACAAGCCAGAATGTCAACTTGGTATTTTCAACTTTTAAAAGATGTAAACTTGTGTTTGAGATAATAAATCTATATAAATTACCAGTTATCATTAAGAAAAAATTGTAATAAAATTCTTGTAAAGTTTTACAAAGAACGAAACGTTAAAGAAGTATTTTCACACATCACTATGTACTCAAATATTTTGTTGTACAGTGTGAATTTCAACATCAAAAGGTAATTTATGATGCTTGTTCATAACACAATGCTCACAAAAATCTAAGTCAACTTTATTGAAGATAGATAACAAGCTTTTAGCACTAAGGAGTGTCATGAATCTATAACACATGTGTCATAGCTTAGATTGTCAAACATGAGATTTTTCAACTTGAGTTTTAGCCATGTTGACTTCAAAATATCTTTTAGCATGTATAGGGTTTAGGCTTTGTGCTAATGTACATATTATTTAGTATAAATTTATCATGTATTTTCACCTTAAGACATTTTTTGAATCTTTTTTTGTTTTTTTTGTAATCTAACATTCCAAAAGAGATCTTTTTTTTATCTTAATAATAAATTTGACTCGAGTCAATGTATATCACACTCCATCAAATATTTAAATTTTAATAAATGTAATAACCTCAATCATGCAAATTTTATATTTTTTTCATATAAATTGAACAATTTGATACTAAAAAAATACCCCAAAATTCTTAAATGTTATAAATATGATAAGAAAAAGCGTTATCTAAGATACATATGTTGAGCAAGCCATAATTGTTGGTATTGAACTCTTGAATTATATTGGCTGAAAGAGTATTATCATATTTGATCTTCACCCAACAACAATTTTTGATGTGATTATTCTTGCCATATTTCCAGCATATTGTTCTCTTTCTCTCTATGAATGTATTCAAAGACATGGATCTGTTCTAAGATCCAACGCGTTTGTCATTCTTGTACTTACTTGAATATTCACATTCAATGTAAATTCAAAAGAAGAGTATGAAGGAGATGTCAATATCATCTTTCGTTAAAATTCATGAGTATATAATGCACTTACAACTTCATTGTAAGTGTTTGTGTGTAGATCACAATGAAGCAATAGCCATGACAATGATTGATATGAAGCTGGTATTAAACTCAAGAAATGTAAGGTTTTTTCTTTATAATTTATCTCCTCTTTAAGGTTCTGAAGAACAATCATCAAGTCACCAAATGCTTCAATGTGATCTTGAATATTTGTGACAAAAACTTTTATGTTGAAGCTTATTAGTTTCAAGAATGCATAAAGTCTGTTTCACACTTTTTTCAGATGAAATTGTTGCTCAAGAGACTCAAATAATAGAATACAATCATACTAATCTTCTAATTGCTTCAAAACCAAAGATTATAAATATAATATAATTATGCTAACAGCATGTTCCTTAAGATTCTCTAATTATTGTTGCTGGATTGGACGGTTTGGAATTACACGAATTTTTTAAATCCAAAGCTTTCAGCTATGGATTTAAAACTAATCAAAATCAAAATAATGATTGATCAAAAATCTAAATCCTAATGATTCTTCCATTTTATTACCAAGACTCCAAGAAGAGCTTGACATTTCCGCCATTAGGACTTAGGGTTTAGGGTTTTTAGGGTTTAGGTTCCTAACAGTTATCCTCTTCTAACTAGACTGCCGTTACTAGGATTTTCAGGTTGCGAGTGCAACATACATAACGAGGTTAAGCTTATCATGAGTGTAATTGTCCTTGATCTGAGGTCCACAATCTCGTTGGAACTTCCTTGTCCGCGATTATGAACTCCATCCACACCCTGTGGACTTCTTGTCCGTGTTTGTCTCCTCCAGTGTCTTTTTACCGCTTATCAGATCCAATAGCAATATGCCGAAGTCAAAAATGTCGTCGCTCAGCGACCCCTGATCTCTTTAAGTACTTTGATTCAAAGTACATCGCCATGCCTTTGGTAAGTAGTGTCTTCGATCAAACCTAAACTCTGCAACAAAAGTCCTAGTTCTTCTTATCGATCCGCAATTTTATTTATAGTCATAATCCATTATTCCACTTTCCCTCTGCTTCGCGTTACTTATTATTGCTATTGTAGCTTTTGTCAAACAATTGATAGAGTTGATCTACAACGTCCATCCGATCACCAAGAATTGATTCGTGTCATCACATCCAACGAGAATTGAATAGCGATCTGCGGTTGTCATATTATCTTTCACTTTCTTGAATTTGTAGAACAAGAATCTTCATCGACCTAGACATTTTAAATCGAAGCTTCTGAAAATCACAACCATTCAACCAATGAACACAAACTGTAAAAGTGAATCGAACACAAAACCTCATCAAAGATACCGTACTACTTCTAAACGCAACATGTCTAAATTCTCAACAAAGAAAATAAGTCAAAGACAAAACTCCTATGGATCCTCAATGAGAAACTCTCCCTCACGTTTGTCTGATCCACAACTCATTGATCTACCAATTGTTATAAGAAAAATGAAAATCCACAAATTCACAAACAAAAGTGACAAAAAAAACATGCATACACGATGTTATCTACAAGAGGAATATGTGGTTCGCCACTATTCTACTACAAAAACATGAACAATGAGATCTAGCCAAAAAACTTACGTGTTCAAAGAAAGTTGGGTGTCGTCACCCAACTTTCTGGTATATATACATGGTAGCGAAAAATCTTGGTCTAATCTAACGAGGATAATCTCAACCCTTAGTTAATCTTAAATTAGATAATCTTCTCGAAGACTTTTCGATTCGAAAAACAAAGTCAAATCAAATCGTTAAAAAAAAAATGTTTACACTTGCATACATGACATGACCTGGATTTCGATCCTACACAATGGAATCTCCAGTATGAAGTGATTAAATGAGGTACTAGCGCTCCCCTACTTTCGTGATTTGGTAAATTTAGAAGCCATTATCCATTATACTCCGCAATCAAGAGATCACCATGGCATATGTAATCGTTAAAGTAGCTCGTTGCATTGACTGAATATGAGTCATTTAATATATCTAGCCAATATTTACAAATGAAATCGATCGCCATACAATCAATACCTATCTAAATTAAAAACTCAGTACTCTTTGAGTCGTGTCAACACTCGTGTCTTTTATCGGCAGCTTCAAAGCATATTTTGCTTTCTATTTGGTGGGCTGAAGATTATAAATGCGTTTCCATACTATCGAATGTTTACTGTCTCTTTGTTAGCAAGCTCTCAATCCGGGCTTTTTGGCCACCTATAACTTTATTGTTTGCTTCGATGAATTGAAACAGATCTTGCCGGGATTATTCGCTTTCGAAAGTACCGCCAAATCGATTCCCAACAGCATTTACACATGAAACTACTCGCTAAACTGTTGAAGATTATCTGTTTGCAGTTAGTTTTACTGCTTTTCCACCCATTACGAATCAAGTGTTTGAACCCTAAACACAAATAAGAACCTTGAGAACAGTACACTAAACGAAATATAATCAGCGTGCGTGAGTCAAAAGAGAGAGGAGCACTAAGGCATGCTTAGATGTGACATTGAAAAGAAATGGGAGTTTCTGCTGTCCACTTTCACAAACTTCCTCTACTTCCTCGAATAATCCTCATATGACTTGAGCAGAAGACTCTTTGAGGACTGGCTGGGCAGCTGAGAAGGAGGAATCATTCTAAGAGTATCGAAACCACATTGCGACATCGACAAACCATGTGGAAACCACCGTAGACTACTCCACTAGTTTTGAACGAAGTGGCAACAGCCTGCTTAGAGACCAAACGGACATTAGAAAAGCTAGTGCTCCAAACACGTAGACAAGCAAACCTTCTGCGTGCAATGGGTCTACCATTCGTGCGGACCGACTCTCACCAGACTGCTGAGAGCTCGACAAACGCGTCGCCATCATGTCTCAGACATTATTTGCGTTTCACGTCAGTATTCGTCTGATAGTAAAGCATAGAGAATCACCAGACACCAACGTCATAATGTCCCAAATGACAATGTTTGTACGATTTTCCGCTATCGATGAGTGGAATACTAGAGTTCGTGTATTATCATCTGCATGATCTCACCGACTGTTGAACGGTCTCTTGGGTGCACCACAACTCCTTCCTACTGGTAGGTAGCACAAGTCCACTTTCGTGCCCGGAAAAACCAATAGATTTGTGCGATGTCTGTGTCGTTGACAACTCAAATAGACTATCAGGACAATATTGCCACAAAAATAAAAATTAAGCATAAACGTGACCGACTGGTCAGGACAGTGCTTCTCATCTTCTTGGAATGCCTTCAGATAAGTCCAATGTAAGTTGACATAATTGAGGGATGGAGATAACTACTAATGTGCCACTTGTCAATACAGAGAGCTCTGGAAAACTTAAGAGTTAATACAATTGACAAATGCTGATCACTTCCTAGAAGAACTAATATATCTGATCCTACTGTCTCCACTCGAGCTGCTACTGTCAGACTACTCAGCTGCCTAGCAACAAAGCGCTTCTCAACAGATTTCCTCAGTAGTGTCTGCAGATGTCAGAACCTCGTGAAGAGTTTACATCGAAAAAAGAGAAATTTGTACGTCCTGAGTCAGTGCATCACTTACATCGAAGATTTTCCATTAAACACAAAGAATCACATCTGCAATTCACACAAATCTACAATGAAGGGAAAGATACTCAAATAGGAGCAATAAACCACCGAAGGATAACGGCTCGTCAGATCTTCGTGAGACCAAAGAGACCTTACAGTTGACAGGCGACCTCATTTAATGGAACTCCAATGGGAGAAAACTTTTTGACTCTCTTCTCTTGAGTACATTCAGTGTGTAAGTCAGTGCTCACCATTGCTACCAGAAAACTCTACCTTTGTATCCGTACTTTTACAATGTCCAGCTTGCACCAACATTTCTTTCTTAATATCGAGTGCGTTTTCTCCTACTCCCGATATCATCTCGTTCTTCCTAACGACATATAAAACACAGATAGACAAATAAAGTGAATCACACTTCTCTATTCAGGAAAACTATAATCACAAGCAGATTGAACATTTGATCAAAAGGACAAATATATCAAGAAAAATCGACCTTAAAAACAACGTCTAAAACATCTCAATGTTAAAAAACGTAGATAATCTTACTGCTAGAAGCAGTAACCTGTACAACAGACGAGACATATCCTCAATACGTAACAATCATCTGAATCAGCTCAGGCCTAAAAACGATATTCTCGCCAGCACGAACTAATTTGTATTCGAATCATGGCGCGAGAAACAATCTCACGTGTGTCCAGAGTTGAGATTGCATGAAAGATATTATTACCTTGATTTCTGATGTGTCAAAATTGTCGGTGAGTAAAGGCATGATGCTGTCGTCTCCGCTTCCATCAACCTCCATCCTCACACTATCTGCAGCCTGAAGTTCCGGCTGCACCTGAAAACAGGAAGCAATCATAGTACATCAATATTGTATGTTACTGTAGATGTCGAAGAGTATATCCATATTCCTCATTCATGTAACATGGACATTGTATGAATCACATCTGCGAAGGAAATAGAAAAAAAGTCAACCACCAGACACCAAGCACAGTTGAATGTTGATTGACTCCTCGCAAAACCGATCTCAGTCAGTCCCTTACGAGACTGACACGGGTTCAAACCCCTCGCTAAATTATTCAGGAACGTTCTAAGAGTTCTCCTTGGCTGTGCAGATCTGTGCGAGTAAACTGCAGTATCCTTGTCGCATAGGGGTGGGTTGAATGGTTAAGTCACTCTCCTTGCGAAACTGATCCCGATTCGACCCACTTGCTGCTTTTGTGAGAGTATCCCTCAGCTCAGCATATGACTGCGAATGAATTGCACGCTACTTGGTGCATCCGGCTGGTGAATGTATGAAAGTCCTGATAGGCTTCTCACCGGGTGTACATTAAGGCAAGATGTAAGCCACATCAAGGCTTCTCTGAGTCTGCAACTCGTTGCAGACCAGAAACGCAAATATGGGAAGAGTTGGGACAAGAAAACAGCAACGTGGGAGAAAGAAAGTAGCAAAAGCACACGGTAACAGGAGGGAAGCAGCTTTTCAAGCATACATCTACACAGGCCTTCGGCAACATTGAATTTCAGGGCGAAGGAGAGGAACGATGATTGAGAACTCAGCCATATTTTTTTCTAACGGACATAGAGGCCGTTATGTCAATGCACTGACATAACAAAGTTCGCCTAGCTGTATGTAAACAAACCCTGACTTGTGAAGTACAGAGTAAGAAGGTCGTTGTAGCTCGATGAGGGAAACTTACACAGGAGGGTACATATACTATGTACACTTCATATTTTAAGAAGATCAGAAAGTCGCAACTATTGTGAAGACCTATCTGACATTTCTCACCAATGTTTGCTAAACTGAAAATTAATGTCTAAACCTTTTTTAAGTTACAAGAAGACAGTGTTTTCATACAAGTAAAGTTATTCAGCAGGCTCGAAATTTCTTGAACTAAAACATACTAAGCCAGGTCACAAGAAGGAATCCCCGTGTCATCAAACTGGTCCTAAAATTTATGAGACCTACTTGAAATAAGGTTTGTGAATGTATTTGATTATATTACACAGCATAAGCTGACAGATACGGCCCTTCCAGGTCTATCATCCTACACAGTTGTCAGATCCTTCTCAATTTCAGGTGCTCTTACTCGGTGATCTCTGGCTCTGTCTACCCTAAATCCTATACATGCTTGAGTTTATGTTATTTACAATTCATGGAAAAAAAATTAAAGGTTCAATAAAAAGTCAGCGTCACGATGTCTCCGCCGTCTTTATAGTTCCTCTCAAGTGAGACAGCAACACCAACTGCTCCATCCATGTGAATGTCGACACCTTAAGAAGTCGAAGCAGAAAGGTTCCAAATCAACCTAGGAACTATCTTCAGCGTCAATTACCAGACTCTCAGCAAGTTCTTGTGAGTAGTCGTTATATTGTAGCATCCGAATCTACTTCTGTTTCAAGCCTACCTTTTCATCTCCTGATGTCAAATTCAATAGCACACACAAGTAACGTAATAAAAAAACCAAGTCTTGCAAAAAGGTCGTAGAATATTCCGTGATCTGTCAATAAAAATAACCCTTACAAGTTTTATTCACGGAGAGTGAGAACGCAGATTTCCTGCGAATCACCGGCGTTAGAAACCTGATAACCATCGCCAAAAATTCAAACGGCTTTGTGCAAGGAGCGCGAAGACTCGTTAGGTAAGGGTCGGTAATTGTTACCTCTTCATCATCTTCCGCAAAATCAGCAGTGGCAGTTTCCGCTGACTCAGTCTTACACTTCAAGTGCACGATGGGACCCAAAGCAGAGCTATCCAGACCTTCAGTACTTCCCCCGGGAGGAACATTTAAATACACCGCTCCTTTGTACATCCATTCATCTGTCTCATCACTGTAAAAGTCCTCAAAAGGCTCTCCACATAGTGCACAGGCGCTTTGATTTTCATCTTCGGGAACTGCTACAACCTCTACGTTTTCTTCCTTGGCTCCCGATTCCTCCGCAAAAAAGGATGGAGCAAATTCAGAAGCAGCTGCCCCCGTTCCACTGAGCCACTCTTTGGTGCTAACAAACCATTTCCGGGATATCTTTTTCTGAGACTTCTGTCTCCGGTTTCTTGAAACGTGCCAATCCATATGCTTGCTGTGTTCGTCCTGAGCTTTGAACCTTAATCCACATGTTTTGCATTGCCTTGGAAAATCAGAGTAGAGGGCCTCAAGCACATACTCATGCCTTTCTCTAAGAATTTCTTGTTTAAACTCCGTTCCAATCGCCTCGATTTTCGAGGTGGGAGGACTCGGAGGAAGTTCCTGATTAGGAACAGCCGCAACTATCAGAGGGGTTACAACGGCAGCTGATACTGGCGCCGGTACGACGGATATAGGCGCATTCACTGGGGGCGTAGGAAGGACGCCCATAGTTACAAGCCCGATGGCAGGATTAACTTGAGATGCTGGGACAGGCAGGGATGGTGGAGTAGAAACTGGAAGAACTGATAACGAAGGGGCTGGAACAGGGGCAATGACGCCATGTGCTACGAGAGAGGACAGAAGAGAAGATATTGATGACGAAAGACCTCCAGATGGAGTGGACTGTGAACCTGCAGATCCTACGATGGTGGAAGCAGGAGGGGGTCCAGGAGGTAGAGGAGGTGGGTTGTACCTAGAGGGCTGAACAGCAAACGTGTTCAAGTGTGTGCCCGGTGTTTGTGATGCAGGGTTCGATACCTGCACAGCTGCTCCAGCTGCAGGTAATACGACCGAATTTGAGAACTGTGCCGGAGGGGGGCCACTAGGTAGAGGAGGTTGCCCTTGAAAAGCTGACTGAGAAGGATTAGACTGCACAGATGTGGAAGACGCTCGAGAAGGAGCAAGTTGTGGTTGAGTTAGTACAGAAGCACTTTGGGATGGAGGAATCAGACCTGACTGCAATATAGCTGTCAGTAAATCATTGCTGGAGCTCTGATTCTGAGAAGCCTGGAGCGATCCTGATGACGTTCCATTAGCTACTGGAGCTAAGACTTGAGTTAACAGGCCGAGTGACTGAGGCTGCTGCTGCAGAGGTGCGGCCTGTGATTGTTGTTGCTGCTGCTGTTGCTGTGCAAGTTGTTGCAACGACTGTGCGAGTTGGCTCGATATCATAGGTAGAAGTGGTGCAGATTGCTGAGTAACTGGTTGCAATAGATGACTCTGAGGTTGTTGATGATGCCCGGAAACCGATGCTTGTTGTAGGGATGTACTCTGCTGTTGTGGTAGCCCAGGCAGCTGTGAAGGTTGTTGGAGGGGTACGACATGCTGAGAAGTTAGATGTTGTAAGGGTTGGACTGATTGTTGAGCATTCAGCTGCAAAGATGGAGTCACCTGTGATTGAGTTATGTGCTGCAAAGGATGAGACTGAGGAGCTCCAGACTGTGGGCCTAGGTTCTGCAGTTGGGCGGAACCTTGAAGTTGATGCCTAACAGGCTGTAAGTGGCCTGACTGATCGTGCTGCAATTGTTGTATCTGAGGGGGCTGATTCTGCTGTTGAGAAGAAGAAAGCTGGGGCATTGGGTGGATCTGAACTTGGTGACTGGGAAGTTGGCTTGGGGGCGATGGGTGCCGATGAGACTGCTGTCGATTTTGAAAAGGGATGCCAGAAACGGGTGTCACAGGGGAGATATTGTTGTAGGTTGGTGAGCCTGTGAAATTACCCGCACTTGAACGAGTACTCTGTCGAGATTCAAAATGACTACTAGTACTTACTGGATGCACAACACCATTGCTTGGTGTAGGTGGCGTTCCATCTCGCGGAAACAAATTAGTTTGATTCCTTGCTGTAGGAGAAATATTGCGATTTGGTACACTCAGCGGAGGTGGGCCTGGGCGACCTCGGGACTGGCTCGGAGGGCTTAGATTTCTAGGACTGTTGACTTGGGATGGCCAGCCACTGTGCGTTCGAGGCCCTGATCCGGACAAAGCTCCCCTACCAACAGAACCCTGTTCAATAGCAGTCCCACCAGATTCGCGATCACGAACACCGAGAGTAGGCTGCAATCGACTCCGATCATCAAAATCCTGTAGAGTCAAGCCACTTTCTGGGGACATTAGCGTACGAAGCAACCTCAAGGAGAACAATATCCTCGACAGAGAACTGATCCTCAGAGAGCCAATGATATGAAGTACTGTTTGTTGACTAATAAAAGACAGGTTAGAGAACGTTCATGAGCAGATAATGGCCTCATCGACAACAAATTTCCACAAAACATCCTGGAGGTAGTTGATTCTCATTCAATATAATAGCTCTTAAAACAGCCGATGATACAACGGCACGAAAATGTAGGGAACAAACGCAAATCTGCAAGGAGATCCAGTTCAAAGAAATTATCTTAAAAGTGTACGTACAAAACAGGTGGCAATTTGGATTCTCCTAGAGTTTCAAGGAAAAGTCAGAACAAACCTTAATCGGAGGTCGATCACCAGCAGATTGACCCTGCTCGATTTGACCAACAGGCCCATGCCTCCGCCAATTGACATTGTCAGAAAAACCAGCATCGAGACTAGTCCTCTTTAGTCGCCCAGTCTCAGTCCCAGTAACGCCCCTCTCTGTTTCACCTGCAAACCATTCATCCTTGGACAGCCCTTCAAGATTCCGTTCTTCATCCCGCCCTTGAGGCTGCCCTAGACGAGGACTCATATCCTCCCACACGTATTCCTCTTCATCTGTCTTCAGCCAATTATCAGTTGGGCCTCTTCCGCTGCTCTCTGATACTTCAATTGGTGTCTGTATAGGACGGAAAGGGGCACCTCTTCCTGGTCCTGGTCCCCTGTTGTAACCATAACCATCCATTTCTGTGCCTCTTGAAGGAGGCTGTCTCCAATCATAACCATTTCGTGCCCCATATCGGGCCCTAGGACTCCTTCCTTCTTCGTGCGCAAAATTCTCCCCGTCTACCTCCCGGAAATATGTCGGATCCCAAGCATCATCTCTATCCATGCCTCTCCCAGGAGCTGACTTTCTTGAGTTTCCGAGAGCAAATTCATCAAAGTCAAAATCGAAAGGGACGTCTCGTCCGTACGCAGGCTCACTATACTCATCTCGTTTGCTGCGTGAGGGCACAGGCACCTGCATAGACAGGAAGTTAGCCAAAAAGACTAATCAAAGGATGAAGTACCAAGGTTTGCATAAATACAAGTATTCCAATGCTTTTGATAATTTAATATCAAATCTGGGAGAGAACTATGAGTGTTCTCAAACTGCACTACCTCTCGTCGACACAGATTAACTAACAAAAACTCAAGAGGTTGACTTCAACGTCAAACAGGCGGACAATAAGCTAGAGATCCATCCTGAGTTTTGATTCGTATATTTCATGCTTGATTTCCGACAGTTTGACTCGCGCACAAGCTTGGCTCAGCTCAGATAACTGAAGAAGGTATAAGAACAAGAGAAAACGTACAGAAGGACGTTTTCCCAGGGTGTCGGACCACCCTTTGGAACTCTCTCGCAAAGCTGGCCCTTCCGTACCACGAATTGCTGCATTTCCGTTGCTCTCCGGGGCAACACTATCTGCCTGAATGATAGAAAACAAACCATAAACAGAATGAAAATGTCAAATGATTGTCAAATATGTCACCAGAGGATGCTGACTGCAGAGCTGGCTTCCAAATTGACAGAGAAAAGCGGGGGATTATTTAAGCATACAATATGTATAATGTAGACTCATCTGTTCTCGATCATGCCACACCGTAGGCCAAGTTGGAAAGATTAAATAGATTTAAAGACAGACAAAGATAATTCTTCACGTTTTACATGTATCAAAAATCGAAACAACATGAATAACAGTGAAGAACCTGTGTGTTTGCAAAGCACAGGTCCTAGAATACAACACAACATGGAACTCGGCAGTGATTCTTGACTGGCCACTTTATTCATCCGCTCCGATGATATTGCTTTGGTTGAGGATTTCTTAAACGATATGTAGATAAGAAAATAGCACTCGAGCAAGGATTTAGCAAAACAATGGAAAACATGCCATCCCAATCCATTTGTGTCCTCACTGGCATTTCTCTGTCGTAAAACTCACGTTGCTCATATAATTAAGGTCGAAGACGACTACATGTACGCATCAGAGTACGATCCTATCAAAAGCTTTACCTCCGACCGAGAAGTCTATACAGAGGACCAGACAATATAGGAAAACACACCTGACCAGTCTGCTGAAGTCGCTGACGTTGAGCTTCCAGATACTTCGGATTCACATGGATGCCGTGGCCAGTTCTTTGAAGGGTATTTTCAGCGGGCCTTGGTGGAGGACTTGCTACAGATGGACCGCTGTGAGTTGAGGTTGAGATTTCGAGCTCATCTTCGATACAACGCAAAGGTACTGGAGGAAACACACCACGCCATGTTCTAAATAAATGTTGCATGGCAGGAGTGGTGGCAGGGTCCACATGTCTGTAAGCTGTAACAAAGACCTGTATTCACCACGAGACGATTTAGCCAACAAAGAAAGGCACTGACAACAATATATATGTCTCTGTAAACGTCAACAGATCCATACTTCGTCAGAGCTTCCAATGAGCTTTCGTGTGACGTTGCACCGTCGTATCGAGTACCTGCAAACATTCGGCAGAAACTAGCACGAGCTATTCATTTTCTAAAAACCATGTACACAGGTGTGTAACCCAAAACGATTGATACACCTTCGATCCTTGTTTCACATTCTCACTTCAGTTGGTCCTCTTCAGTTTGAAGCTCTTTCTCTTGAACTTGACAGGTTTCCAGTTGAACACACAGTTTACTTCGAGACTGATATATAGCCCAGTACCTCCCGTGTCCCTACATGTTTTCATATTTTTCCATGCGTCCACATCTTAATATCCAAGACCTAAACAGAGGATATTTCAAACTCAAAATAACGCCGCGGATTTGTGTGCAACTGACCGATATAGTTAGGCACATACGTAAGCGCAGCAGTCCAACTCCAGTCATTGCTACGACTCTGCATGTCCCGACTTTCTAATAATAAGACGGAGGCTCCGGTTCAAACCCAAACTAGCCAAACCTTGCCTCCGCTTGTCTAACGACCCCTTGAAGTGACGAAGAAACTACTAAAAATGAGAAAACGATCCACCTTCTACCCGTCTACGCGAATAACCAAAACTCATCTAATATTTCTTCTGCGTTCTACGCTGGAAAGAGGAAACGTATCCTGGATTCATTCGTCCTAGAATATTTTAGTCCAAAGCCGCAAAGTCCCTTCATGTTGGTTTCGAACTCTACTACATTCATTCCTTCAATGACCGAATCTAAACCAATGTTTCTCAAGGGGTGGTAGAAATAAAATTACTTTTGCATGATTATATGAAAATGCTAAACCATGAACTGAGAAAATGTCGCAGTGAAGTAAGAAGTATTTACCTCCGGTAAGCGAGCAGCAAAGAACTTAATATAGTCCCCACCGATATTCTTCACTATACTATCCAAGAGATAGAGAGAAGGAAGTTTCTGCTCTTTAGGTACCTGGACAGAATAAAGAATATGAGGGGCATGCTAATCAAAGTGACAACAAAACTTTTCTACATTTGATCGCACATTGCTTCATATCCAACGAAACCTTTGTCATGCAACTGAATTGACAGGTGAGCAGCGCCAAGCGCTCTGGGATTTTCTTGTAGATGCCTTCAGTTTTCGAGCAAAGGCGTTCACTTTTCAATTTCTTGTAGAGTGAAAGTTCAGGGGTGCGTGGTGAGCTAGTAAACTACATTTATAATAACCCACCCCTCTTTCACCTATTGTTATCTATGAGCGCTGAAAACCTGCAATAACTTATCGAGCTAGATACAACGAACACTGTTCTGCTGAAGATTATGTTCTCTGCAGTTTATTGTAGACCTTCACATTCATTACCTACTTTATTTTATTTCTCCACGGAAGGACTTCTTCCTTCCGTGGAGAATAACTTATCCGCAGATTGCAAATTCGTCTCATAAGTGGACTAATCTGGTCCCTTTGAAAAATCCACTCATGAACCAGCATGATTAACCATCCCATAAAAACCATTGTGGAATTATAGAGACCAGTCAAGTACGAAGGATCATGACAGAGCATGACCAAGTTTAGCTGGAAAAACTTCAATCGCGGAGCAAGTTCAGTAAGAACAGCTGACAGAAATCAACAATTCACTATGGATTCGATACTAGTACATGATCAACCGCAGGGACTTAGCATGCAAGAGTCTGGACCAACTCGAATCCAGGTGGTATAACTCAAGGGTACCAACGATACATAGGGCCTGAGAGCAATGACAAGACAGGCCAATATAGCATGAATGGACGGCTATGGTAAATGATCAAAAGAAGAACAAAAGTGAAACGGCAAGAAATACAATCGAAGCGTCAAGTTCCTGTCACATAGAGACTACATCATCACTGGATACCGAGGTGCATAGAGTTTCTCACTGGAACGAGCAGGCCTGGGAAAACTTGAAGACGGACAAGCCAAGAGGAATCAGTAGATGTTCGACTGAGCTATGCCCAAGATGACCTGGAACTATCTACTTGTGAAAAAACACGGGATGCCAGATCGAAAACACAATCCAAAAGAAGAAAGAACTTCGAGGTGTCCTTTTACTGGGAACAGCTACTTATGATGGACATGTAAGCATATCGTAAACACAAGGCAAAAATGCAATGTCACACCACAGCGTTCTTTAAGGCCCTAGAGCAAACTAATCAGCATATGCACTTAAGAGACGAAATTGAAGAATCCGCGTGACATGCAAGAGACAGATCATGGAGAAAATAAGAAAAATAAAACTAACATGTGGGTGAACTACACTAGAAGACGAACTTCTGGACAAACTACCCGCTGTGCGTGTTTAAACTATAGTATCTATTAGGAAATCCATATCTGAACAGCCAAAAAACCACAGCTGACAAGCCTAGAATAAAAAATTTCAACTCAAGATATAAATCGTAGTGCTAGGTGTCATAGTTCGTGGTTTAACATGGACGTCGCCTGGACAAGATGTGGTCGTGAGGTACATATTCTAATAACGATTTGTATCAGCCTTGATGTTCACTACTTAAAAGACAATCCTAAAGACAAAAGTCGAAATGTGATAAACTAATAGTTGTTAAGAAAGTGGCTCTGATCGTTGTTCATAGAGCTGGAATTCTGCTTTAGGAGCTCATAGCATAAAGTAGCACGGTTTAGAAGTAAAAGTCTAATAGTTTCGCTGAAGTGTATATACCCCAGCGATACGGTCTGGAGAGATGAATATTAGATCTTCGAATCTCCCCTACCGTCAAACGATGAAACGTCCAGCCAAGAGATCCACGAGTTCCGGAACGAGAGGTCAAATTATTGTCATCAGCTGATACGGAAAACATATGGTTCGGGAAGAACCTTGTATCACTTCCAAGCAAGAAAGAACAAGGGCAAGATAGGTATTAGCATGATATGTGTTCGCGGCGAAGGGACGCTGGTTAGAGATGTCTGCTTTGTTCTCGGAGCATGGTTCATGTACAGTAAAAGCTAGTTTGACGGGGTCGATAGTGAAAGGAACGGCGACCGTCAATATTGTCTCCTTTTGCCGCTCCTTTTACGTGCAATTGGTCTACAATTGCACGTAAAATAATATTTATCTTCTTCTATATCATTCTAAAACTGAAGTGATACATATTCAGATAAATGACAGTCCTCACTAATGAACCAACCAGGAGGAACGAAGAACGTTTCGACATAACGAGAAATGTGAGATGACGATCGACTGTCAGTAACATACTCATGCGGCAGGATTGTAACTTGATCTAAGATGAAAAAACATGAAGATTCCATGATCGAGCCCTAAGCGGCATTGTGCTATGTAGACAAGGGGCCTTAGATATCGGCCGAAATACATCGGACTGAAGAGGCTTAATCAGTGGATTCCGAAATCATAGATTTCAGCAGTGGACCACGCAGGGGTGGATCATGTACTATCTCTGCTGTGTTGACTCAAAGGTCAACACAGCAGAGATAGTGCATGACCCAATCCAGCGGCCACCAGATCATCTCCAGTCTAGGTGCTACATTCCAAGGTGGCAACGGAATGTATCAGACTGAAAGAGCATGAAAAGAACACTGTAAGGACTAGCAAAACTATGGAGTCAGAACAAAATAGCAACGGAAATAAACAAATGAGATGCAAACTAGCAATTAGAAACAAGGATGAGGAGAAAGGTGGAACATGGAAGCTCTGGAAGTATGCCAACTGTCCGTAGGACATTGTTGATAGCAGTATGAAAGAATAGGACTCAAGAAAGGCATTCACTAATCATAAACAATATATGATCAAGAAAAGTCAATTTCCCGTCAAAGAGACTCGGCTGCTTCAACGTTTTACTCTGGAAAATACTGACAAGCCCAGCTCACATATCGTCATTGTGTGAGTGAATGTTTGATGAGTCCTTTCACATGAATCGACAAACCTACAAGGCATGGGGCAATATAGTACAAGGGAGATGACTAAATCAAGGTCGGCCAAAATGTCCCAAACCTGTAAATTGTCAGAAATTCTGTCCTCAGTGAAAAACATTCACAGTCGTGCTTCGCGAGATTGCAGTTGGATTTTCGACAGAAAGAATAAACAGATGTCTTCGAGTCTCTGTTCACACGTCTACACTATATCGAACAGCAAAACTAGGAATGAACGCTATCACATGACAAACTACTTTTGGTAAAATACTGGTTTATACTGTACAAGGATGCAGGAGAAGTAGAAGCTAACTGCACCTCTAGAATGTGGTTGCATACAGTTGAGGTAATGCCCTTGGCAGCGTGAACATTTTCACCAGCAATGATTGTAAGATTTGTGATTATTGGCTTTGAGTTGAAAGTGAGTTCTGCCAAAGCTGATTTATAAGAAGAAACCAGCTCCTTCAGCAACTCTTCCCTCTCGGTATCAACAATCCTCTCGGTCACCATGACGTCCCTCTCGACATCTCTAATTCTTTCCACTGCTCTTTCCTCTTCTCTTTCTCGAGGAGGCACTCGTACTCTTTCTAGAGACACCTGTCTCGATACATCCCGGTCTCCATCTCTCTCGACAGTTCTAATGTCCCTTTCCAGCATTCTTTCCGGTACAATTCCTGGTTTCATATCTCTCTCTCCAAGCACAATTCTTTCCTTAATGGCGGGTCTCTCTCGCATTCTCTCCCTTTCCACCATTCCCCGGTCAGGTACGATTCCCCTGTCCAGGCGCCTCTCCCTTGGGTCCAGACTCCTTTTCCGGTCAGCGTCTTCTCTAACTACTCCTCTGTTTTTCATCGCCATCTCCCTCAGCCTTTCCGCATTCCGCTGTTGCTGCCTTTCTCGCTCTAGAGGGATGTCCATATTTTGAAAGCCCGGCGGGTATCGGACCGCGAGTACGACCTTGTGCTAGCCCTAATCTTTCTCGGCTCGATTAGCAAGTAGTGCGCGAGTTAGAGTCGGAAGCTCCATTCGAGAGATAGTTCCGGTCGTGAGGAGCAACCTCCGTTCGAAGGCTTCGCTCGTATATTGGAGGCACCGAGTTATTTACAACTTCTAGATAAAAATTTCGTGCTTGTAGCCTTCTCCAACTGACCCCGTTTCCATCGTCTCCTTTCATACATCTTCTAGAGACGAATAATACTGCTGAGCTCCAACTCAAGCCCAGAAGACTCTGCTTCTTTCTCCAAAATCTCTGCGCGATAAAGCGCAGCTCATAGTCTTTCGTTATCGTTACAACGCCTTTACAATGAACTCGTTTGACGTCCTGCTGCTGACGAACAGGGCATCAAACAAGCGTACTGATCCTCTCTCTGCTGTTCCTACTCACCCGTTCTGCGCAAGGTCCCGGGCCTTGCCCTAACATTCATTCATGACTTCTACTACATCGACACCATCACCACTTTCCTTGTGTTCGTTACACACCAAGACCTGCTGCTGCTGAGACGACGCATGCCACCTCTATATCTCTCCGTGTCCATCCTTGCCCCTCATCCATTTCGCTCGCCTTCTCCCTCCTCCCAACACTGCCCTTCTGGTCCCCTCCCGTTCCTTTCACCTTAATCTTCTCGTTTCTCCCGCTTAAATTGTTGTCACCTCTCGTGCCATTCCTTCTCTTCCTTGCCTGCCAACACGGACAACTTTACTAATTCATACCCATTCCTTCCTTCCTCCCTTCATTCCTTCCGTCCTTCGCGACATTAGAAGCTGGCTTGAGCCTTGAGTTCTTATGAAACAAAAACCCGACCAATCCAACTCGCCCTCGCGCTGCCTGCTAGCTATTGAGACAGATCCTGACGCTTGCCGCAAATCATAGCAGCGTAAGGCGAACCAAAGCACAGCGGGTAATGGATGTTAGGGAGAGCGGGATTCCGGAATTCCGGCCATTCAAGCAAGGACAAAGACAGACAGAACGCAGACCCGAGCAACAGCTGAGGTGGAAATTGTGCTTTTCTTCACGCTCGAATCCAAACGATGCACATCCATCGTCGTCTTTAGCTAGCCAGCTAAAACTGGCATTACTTCATCTCCTTCCTCGGTTTGTACGTGATCAGACATCCCAGCCTTAGAAATACGCCGATTTCCTGTCTTCTAATCAAATGTAATATACTCTCTTCTTTCGTCTTGACACAGTTCTTCTCACCCCTTCCGTCCCACAATTTTTTCCATCGTTGCCCATCTCTACTCTCTACTTAGAGCAGCGGTTTTTGTTTTCTTGAGTTGCGATTGGCAGCACTGCTCTTGCTCTCTCTAACTTCTTTTCACTACGACACTTAGGGTCTCTTCAGTTGTTTGGTCCCGTGAGCAAACAATGTAAGTAAACATGATGTAACTAGAGCTAGTATGACGAATCCAAGAACCAGCTTCATTTGGATATAATTCATCTCATTCACAACGTCTGGTGCATTGATAAATAAAATTCAAATCATCTTCCCAATATGCATATCAATGAATAACGTGAAATTCTTTTGAATACATTCTGATTAGTTTTTCTGCATTACCCCTCAAACTATACACTTTTGAAAAAAAATACTCATCATGGATCACGGAACAAACGCTTGGATTCATAAACAGAATAGATCTCATCATACTTAGCTCTGTACTTGAATCGACAAACAAAAATTCAAACGTCATATTAATCAAGCAGCCAATAGCAAGGACATGTTTACATGTTCCCCATTTATATATTTACTATTTCATGTTAGATTTTCTTCAAGTTTTTTGAACTAATTGACTTTGCGACAAATCAGATGTGACTAAAACAATCAAACCTATATTCTTAGATCAGATAACTTCAATATGTCATTTATGTGAAAATGAATGCTTGAAATTGAACACCTTGTTAGTGTATATATTTACTTCATTGGAAATGCATACATGCTTTAATCACATAAAAAATAATTTGATCATATAAAATTATGCCAATCCGCGTGTTAACTGTACGGTGGTTCGTATGAACCGTAATCTACACTCATCCGTATTGCGGCTAAGATATTCTGATTACTAATCCAATACGTCCACATACGATTAAAACATCATATAAAGTCGTTGGTATCATATGGATTGCACTATCAATGCTTCCTGTAAAGCAATAAAAATATTTTGTTTTAACAATTACAATATTCATATTTTATATTTTAAAATAGAATACTTCATAGGTACATTTTAAGGACCTTTATGGTAATTGTACAAATGTACTTAAATATATTAACATTACTCTATATACTCTAAGCACTGACTTTCGTGACTTTTAGATGGCTGAAACCAAAGACATTGATTGTCACCGCTACAATCACCTCATTGATCACCTATACACTATGATTAATAAATAATAGTATCACTCGAAGTAATTCACAACTAATACAGCATAAATCAATATATACTTTTTCATGCCATAACTTACACCACATTAGCTCATGGTTAGCTGCAATGAGTAACATGATTGTGGAACGACTGAAGGACTTTTTCTTCTCACTGTAGAGGGTAGTTGACCTGAACCAGAAATCTCAAATTCATGATTCATTTAATATCTATGCGTGCAAGGCTGTAAACTAAGCTAATCGTACTTTCAGTAGAATGTAATGTAAAGAGTGTGGAGTTTGTTGTATGTTTTCACGTATCAAAGTACAAAAAATGTACATCTAACCCAATCGATGAGCAAAGAAGAACGATTACTGTACTCACGTAACGATCATACTTAACTCCCGAGAATAAATCTTCTTGTCACATACAGTAAATGACCTACTCCGATCGTGAATACCCATGATACGAAGAGAGATTATCATTCCACAATCCAATATGTCCCATATTGGATTGGCTGCGTGAAGTATATCACAAATTATATGTGATATACTCCACGCAGCCAAAAGACTGTCATGAACAGATCCGTAAGTTTTCGCTAGTCACACGGTAATGCTTGGCGCCTTGCAATTTTAGAAACGTTCATGTTCGCACCTGACAACTAAAACCTCTGCACATTTGGACAACCACGTTAGACGCAGTCATATGGCTTAAACGTTAACATTCCGCCCCCTCCCACAAACTCGCGAAAGCTTCTCCGTCAAAACTTCATATTTTTCGCTGACAAACTGTTGTTTTAGAGTGACTGGTACGCAGCGCATAGTGACAGATTGTGAAGATTGAGCGCAGATTATGTCGAGGATGGAGTATGTGTCTACTATCTGAATACGTTAAACTGCACGTGAATAGTGCGTGCCACTGTCTCCATTTAGGTTAGTGTCATCGGAAAGTACGTTCTATCATCCACTTTGCTTGGGCATTTTCCTCGTGCCACAGTTTTGTTCATATGTTAAGAGTAGAAGACGCAGTTGGCACTATTCTTAATCCTATTGATGTGTGAAGAATTGATAAAGATCCGCTTCGATTTTGCGAATAATAGTGACTTTACTCGGTTTAAGGTTTGAATATTAGTAACGTTGATATACATAAATATATTATGTATTTATAAACGTTGATATGCCGTTATCGTTTGAAACGTTGATATCAGATACGTTAAGCAGTATCAACGTTGAAACGATAACGTTGAAAGCATATCAACGTTCTCCAGTATGCATATCAACGTTTCTTCTCGTGTGGTAAGTTCTCCATTTTCTCTTCCTATATTTTTCGTTCTATAACAAGTCAATTCTCGGGTGTGCTCGAAGAGACTTCTTCAGACCCACTTCCCATACTTACTTCCGGCCGGTCTTGTACCACGCAAAGAAAAAAAAAGACACTGACAATACAGTGAAGTTTTTCGAGTGAAATCGAAGAGATTCTTCTGGCTTCCCACTCTCCACTTCTTCACGCCCAGTCTCGTCTCAAGCAAGAGAACCATCGCGTCTTTGACAGAACTCGGTGTACGAAAATCGCACACACGGTCCAGTACTCTATTTCCGCCCCATCTCTATAGTTTGGACTACCGATAGAACTAGCGCCTTAAATGCACGCACACTACGGTGTCTGGTTTAGTAACCGTACACAGTTTCACAACTCCGTACAAAGCGAGGTATAGACGATACGAAGTAGTTTCTCATGTGCTCTAAGACAACAAGTCTGAATGTAAACTTCCAAAAAACAATGTCCACCAAATCCACCACTGATATTGTTACAAATTTCCACAAGTCATGTTTTCGACTCATTAGATCGCTCCTTATCGCATTGACAGATGTTGTAGCTATTTCATGAGAGACATTAGGAAACATTTAGAAAGAAGATGTTGGTCAACGACGTTTAGTACGAGTGGCATATCCGAAGAGCAACAGGCAGGGAATAACTCATCGTAGAATTGCGCAAGTGACTACACTTCTCTAGTGAACAAAAGACAGAAATGGAATTGAGAAGTACGACGAAAGAAGCTGTACAGGGCTAGCTGTGGTTGAGAAGCACTTCCCACAAAACCGACGCGTGGCACCGACCAGTAGGAGTTTCGGACATTCCAATGATGGGAAAAAACGAATATCGAACTCAACTTGGCTGGTAAAGCCGTTAATAAAAAAACTGCTTGTGCCAGCCTAGGTTACGGCTTAAAACAACGTATCCTGGACGCTGACCTTCGATTAACTCGTCCTTCGAAGATTGTGATAAAGTGCCAAAGGAAAACATGGTGATCCATGGTTGGAATAGAAAAACGGTTTGCGCTGACTCCACGGTGCCCTAGGGCCAAGAGCAAAACCGATTTACAGGACAGTTGCATTTCTCCCTTGCTAGCACTATGGCTTACTTAAGCGCAACATAATTCATCTCAAGAATCAACAAATTCGACTCCAGCAGTACGACCAGGAACAAATATGACTCATACAACACTTCATCTAAACCCCTGCTGGCCATCTGTACTAACTTGAACATCAGCCGTCACCTCCTTTCCCCTATATCTTCTGATAGCGGCACTCCGAAAGTCGTACAAATTACCTCCTTATTAAATTTAACTTCCTTTGAAATTCCTCTCATACTCATTGACAGTCTTCGTTTCAAAAGTACCTCCTTATGCCTACAGAAAGTCTGGCCAAAGGAAGAATGCCTGCACCAATCGTTACAAAGGTTGATTGTTGACAAACTGTAATGGATAAAAAACACTTTTGATTAACCAATCATTGTATACATTTCCCAGATCGACAATGACACATTAGGAGCGACATTCCATAAAATTGCCGATTCCTTCTCACAATTTGGGGGTTGTATGCGTAGCGTATCAATTTGTCTTCAGGTACTACAGTCCGACTATCAGAACGATCTATTCCCCGAACGCAGCCACTTCCACCTTCCTGTTCTGTTCCTAGGTTCTGTTCCTGTTTCCACCGAATCCTCCGGCCTGGAAACCACCACCCTGGTTGAAGAAAGCGCCTCCAGTTGGTGGGGTAGCCTGTTGTACAACTCCTGGTAGTTGTTGCATGTTCAAAGACGCCAGGAGCTCAATGGTTTCCCTGTCGACCTGCACGAGTTTAAGACATAAATCAATACCAGCGGCATAGGAACTTGGTCGGCTTGGTCTGTTAACTTACACGATTCGTTTGGTGGTTATATGACAGGTTGCGTACCTCAATGACGTCGGTCTTGATCGCAGACTCCTCTGGCACGAAGTCCATACGCCTCTCACGCTCCTCCTCTTGAAGCTTCAAAGAGATACCACGAACTGGACCTCTTTGGATACGCTTCATCAAGTGAGTGGCAAATCCAGCAATCTTGTTACGAAGACGCTTGGAAGGAATAATAGAAACCTCCTCGGCGATCTTCTTGTTGGTTTGAAAGTCCAACGTCATACGCGAGTAGTACCTCTCGATGATAACACGAGAGGCCTTCTTCACTGTCTTGGTTCTGACGCGACCCTGTCAAACGAAAAGTCAATTGTTTCGAGTGTCAATATTTCCAATTTTCCGTCCTGAAAGGATTTCGAGTGAAGTGCCACGGTGACTGAGCAAACCACATCGACTCAGCTCTAAACTAAGACGGACTGGTCAAATCGACTAAAAGGTCAGGACTGTCACTCACCATCTTGACGACGAAATTGAAAACCCTGGTCTTCGAGCTCGAGAAGTGGAAGAGAGTGAGAGATCCGCAACGCTCGAGGGCGAGAAAGAAAGACCGTCTACTCAGAAGCGAAGTGACAAAAGGGTGTTGTGAAAACCCTAATCGACGACTGTCTTTGCCGTCGACTCCGTTTTCGAGTGACTGACTAGTGAACCTCACTACGGTACTATGCCTTGAGTACCTACCGTGGTGCACTCTCACAAACTGTCACAATGCAAACTTGTAACCTAGTTACATTATGCACGACCTACAGTTAGTCAAGAGATGACCCTTGGCGAAATTCCAAATATATGTCCAAGTGTATGTAACTCTAAGGTTAAGTGTTTCAGACGCTGTCCGAAAATCATGTAAATCATAACTATTTATCATATTTATATAAAAGGTTTCACACAAATGTATAATCGCACACATAAGCACACGCTACTACATGAGAAAAAGTTATCTAATCTAATATATTGCAGACACGAAATTGCTGGGAACAAAATAAAACTTGTAAGGAGATCCATCCACGGAAACAATCTTCATAGCGTACGTAGAAAAAAGGTGGCATTTTGAATTTTTCTAGAGTTTCAAAAAAAAAGTCGAAACAAACATTAATATGAGGTCGATCATCAGCAGACTGACCATGTTCGTTTTGATCAACAGGCCCACGCCTCCGCCAAATTGACATTGTCAGCAAAACTAGCATCGAGAATGGTACCCTTTAGTCGCCCAGTCTCTTGCGGGCGACTAAAGGGTACAACTAAACAAAACTGAACAAAGCCCGTAGGCTTTGTTCAGTAGTAGTTCTCTAGTAGTCCCCGTAACCCCCGTGTCTAATTCACCTGCAAACAATTCGTAGTAAAAAATATCCACTAAAATGCAGAAACACACATATACACTTACACTAACCCGTCAACAGTTTATATTTACTTTAACAGATATAAGAAAGAAAAATAAAAGAGTTGAACGAGATTCATTTAGAATGACAATAACAACTAAGATTATTTTGAAGTGAAGTGACCATTTAAATCACTTATTTGTCAACTTCTCCACTACAACACCCACATATCTAGTACAGGTATCGTGCCCACGGCGTACGCTGGGTAGCCAAGTGCAGAGCAAATACCGGCTGCAAGCATCTAAGCAGGAGCCCACCTCCAAATGAGTGCACTCCCATATTAATATTCTATTCTAACAGTCTTTGTGTAATACAGTAAACATACAGAAGACACTGATATATTTTCTGTCGTTGCAAGAAATGGAGTGACCTAATTCTGGAGGATTGAAGGTAAGTTCACGGCAAGACTAACGGCTTATTTGTACGATAGATGCCAAGTGAAAGTTCAGTAATGTATGTAGTTGAAAAATCCTAACAGACGGAGAGATTTTGAACCCTTTCCACCTTGACATTTAATTGTAATCAGGTATAGCCACCAACAATCAGGAAAATCAGTTGTATGATGAATTCTTGCAGGTCTTGACGATTGTGCTTCTGAAAATATATGAATGCATGATATAGATGTGCCAAATATACACAATATAAAAGAATGAGTTTGTCTTTCACCATTCTGCACTTTCCTAACATATTATTATTTATGAAAATAATTCAATGGGACTCCCTGTTCAAAATTGACCACAAATTTGTTTTCTACGAAGTGCAGAAATTCCTTTTCAATATCCTACCCAACTTTCATTTAGCAAGAACAGAGTGCCGTTCTTGCACGAAGTTTAGCAATTTAACCCGCATTCTTTAATTAGAGGAGCCATTTTGCTGCATTGCATTGCGAATGTATTACAGATAATCATGCGTTCATTTTCTTTTGTTGCAGCTGACATCGGTACAGAAAACAAAAAATAAAACCTAGTTCTACAAATCAAAACAAGCATCTCCTCCTGTGGGAAATAAATCTACAGCCAAACAGGTAACAGCCCGACCTCTCTACCACTAAACTACTAAGGAACAATGAACTTAGTTCCAAAATAATCAAACACATTGCAACGAAAAATTAGCCAATATTAAGCTCAATGAACCAACAAACCATTGAAGTAAGAAAAGAAATACTCCGAGTACACTCTGACTTCTTCATTAAAGAGTACTAAAATAACGACAGAAATCCCTTAGACAGCATGAACTCTGCATTACAAAATTTGCCTTAGCAACTTACAGAGATACAGTATTATTAGTAGTAATCAAGTGAGACTCTTATTGCTCACGCTAAAATATCAGTTTTCTATTACAATCTCGGACATAACTTTGACGACACCATATATATTCGATACCTACAACTTTGTTTACATCCATGATGAAATGAAGTGTCACACATATGATTAAATTAATGTTTTAGTTTTATATTTGAAATGTCAATATTTTAACGATTTTGACCTTTCAAATTTTGTGAATTTTTTTGACTCCTTATTATAAAATATAACACAATACATGTATTTGTGCCAACAATTATTTGTCTACAAATCATCTATTCGAAGATGTGTACATCATTTCATTCAAGAATCCGCATTTTTATTGTCGTCAATCAAAATATTGTTAACCTTGAAAATTATGTATGTCTCAAAATTATGATAGAATTTAATATTTTATAAATTTTTGGATTCAACCTCGTTATATTATAAATCAATGGATAAAAAATTATTCAAATCTACTAATTAAATTTCAATGATGAATAATCTTCATATTTAACACCTTCAACCTATATTTCAAAATTTATTTTAAAACTTTTATTTATAATAAAAATTTTTTCAATTGAAGTAAAGAACTAGTATACAATTAATATTGATATTTGCACCTCTAAACATTTATCACAAATATAATCTCCTTAACATATGAAATTGATAAATCATCAATATTTATTAATTAAATATCGAATATTAATATTCATTGGTTGATTCAAAATAAAATATTGAGATGATGTTTATCACAAAAAAAACAATACAAAATTAAAGAAACAGGTCGAGGAGAGTGGCTTGGACAGAACCCATGAGTAGAGAGCAACAATTTTTGTTCGAAGCAGGTTGAATAACTTCCTGCAAAGCTTCTTCTACAAGTTTGGTTTGGGAGTCAGCAGTTCCGGAGTTTATAGAAACTAAGATTACAAATATATTATATGTAATGTACTGTATGACTGGAATAAATAAAGAATGAAAGTAATTTGAATAAAAAATTTGGATATATTTTAGTTTTTAATTCAATGATGTGATAATATACAATAATAAGACATTAAAATGATTTCTGTGATAATTTCTAGTACTTTGTTCAAAAATTTGTTAAAATATTTATATTAAATAATTCATCAAATTGAGGGATGTTATAATTAGACTTAAAATATGCTTCGTGTTCTACCATCACGATCTTATTGTATTGATATTATTTAAATAGCTCTTAAGCTATTTAAATTATGTATATGAACAAATAATTTAGAAACAAATATGTATTTTCTTTGTTTTACAAGATTTTATAGAATGTTAAATTATAGACATAATGTATAAAATGTGAATTTGATTTTGATAACAATACAAACTAATTGGAAAACTTTTTTGTATATTTTAATTTGAATAATGAAAATGATGCTTTATTAAAGATTTTACAACAAATAATCACATACAAACATGATCTTGTTATAAATTTAATAGATCATCGAAACATGACCAAGTATATTCATTATTGCTGCATTTAAAAAAATTCATTTATATGTATGAAACCATTCATATTTTTTATGATTCTGCAAATGTATCAATTTTTATTTTGACAATTTAACTTTTGATTTGTATACATATTTTCTATTACAACAAAAATTGTGAAGTTTGTTTCAATGATTTTCAAACAAATTTATGAATTTTTGTCCACTTTCTTAAATTTATTTTAAAAATGTTTCATGTGAACTTCATTGTAGAAATTTCCATTTGTTTTATGCAACCAGAATTTGATTTTTATGATCATTTCAGTGTTATGAACATGATTAGTTTTAGTGTTATAATTTCAACAAATAAGTTTTCATAGAATAAGTCTCATATATAAAAAGTTCTTGAATTCTTATTTAGAATGATAAAATAATTTTATGGAAATATAAAGTGTAAAATTGGATTTTATTTTTCATTATCAAAAGACCATTATTTTTCTAACTTTTCTCTGATTTGTTTAAAATTATATATTTAAATGTATTATAGAGCTACAAAATTTAAAGATATAATACATATGTGATACTATTGTATATATATATATATATATATAGAATTTTTAGATTAAATAATAAAAATTTAAAATATTCAAGTTTTCAAAATATGTTTATAATCATCTTCAATTAGTTGAAATTAAAATGAAAATTCTACAAGATGAAGAATTCAAAATCTATACTTGTTGAGCATGTGTGTAGCTCTTGTTGAATACTTAAATTTTTCATGGCTTTTTCTAAATGTCATGAATCGGTTGTCAAAACTCCATAAAATACTGATGAAGTTGCTAAAGAGTTTTCATTGTTCTAAGTGTTTTTGCAAATGCAAATAAAAAATGAATTTGAAGTGAATCAAAAAAATTTGAAATCTCATCTAGAATCTAAAATTCAGTCAAAACCTACTATTTGATCAAATCCCAAATTCGTCATTTATTTTTAATAAAGGGAAAAAGTCATCACTTTACATCGTTAATGAAAATAGAAACGGAATCAAATAATGTAATTTATGTAGAATACTGTTTGTTAAAAATTATGAAAGATTAGAATTTTATAAGCTGTAGAACATATTTCATTCAAAGTGTCAAAAAGTACAACAATATCATATTTATATTCAAAGCTTTAATACTATAAAAAATACAGACTTTCAAGTCTCAAATTGCACCGTAGTCAAACCAATCAAATTCAAACAATTTTTCTCTCGTCTCATGATACTATCATTATAATGAAATACTAAATAAATAAATAATTCTCATAAAGTAAACACATAATACTGATTATAATTGGACCAAGTAGCAATATCTTTGGAGCCATATACTATTTCTCATTATTGTAGTCATGTTGTTGGGTTAACTTTATCTTGGATTAACTCCAGTTAGTGGTAACCATGATTAAGAAGTTAATTGTGATTATGTTAGGTTAGGATAAGTATTATGTGCACCTTATTAGTCACATCTCTCTTCTCGTATAGAA